CCCTACACTGCTGCTAAACACTCACTTCACTGAACAGAAACAGGTAATTCTCAAGTCTCATCCTGGGGTAAATAATGACACTTCTGTTCATTCCCAGCTGACAAGAAATGCAGGTAGTGTCATTACTGCCTGATCTCACTGCTCTGACCTATTGAAAAATAAAAATTAAAAAAGGTGCTTTTCAGCAAAATCTAAGGAAATGAAAATTAGGGGCTCTTGCAGCTCCTGGTACAGCCTTTACACATTAGGCTCCTTGTTCTTCCTCTAGATAGTCCAGATTCTTTCAAATCTTGAGAAGGGATATGCTGTACCTGTGTCTCTTTGAGAGCCAGAACAACTATATCCCTAATCCCATCTCCATCTACATCTGGAAGAGTTGCAGCTGGTGCAGCCAGGATCCCACTTGAAAGGTGGATGGAGTTCAGCGTCCAGATGGTCTTGCCTGTGGGAAGAATAGGTTTAAAGAGACCTGCAGCACTTGAGGAACCAGGAGGCATCTCCAGAGGGTTCCACAAAACCTTCCTGAAGGAGGGAGCAAGAGAAGTTTTCTCTAATTCTCTGAGAAGAATTAGACAAGCCTACAAACTGGGGCAGGCTGCAGTGGGAAGCAAAGTTATTTCCCCAGCATTTTCTTCAGACTCTCTTTGAGTCATGTGTCAAGTCCCACTGTGCCTCCTTAGCATCTTCCTAGAAAGACCTGAGCCCAGAACAATCCCTGAAATAGCAGAGAATATTAGAGGTTCGCTCTTGGAAGGAGAACCTAAATGAGAGTGCTGCTCTGCAGGACAGCAGTTGTTTTCCTCAGCCAGTAAAGCCTGTAGGTAGATGCCAGGAAAGGGAACAGATGGGCAGTTCTGATATTCAAAGTGCAAATCTGTGTCTCAGTTAAATTCCCAGCAGCAAATAACTACTCCACCATGGCATGCTCACTCCACCTCAGGGTAGAAGCATGTTAACAGACGTGATGTCAAATGGTTCAGCAATCCAGCACAGACCCAGCTGGAAACCCAGTAAAACCTGATCTGCAAATTGGCAAACAAACACTCAAAGAAGGCAAAATGAAATTCAATGCTTTTACTTTTCCATGATTCTTTTGCCAACACTTCTGCTTTTTCAATCATAGTTTAAAAATGCTTTTCAGCTGCTATGTAAGATAGGGCTTGCTCCTGCATGACAAAGGAAACCAAAGGCCAGACCTACAAACATTTGGGTACACTAGTAACACTACTAGTACTGGCAAAGGAGACAGCCTATGGTTCTGACCCTGCAAGGACTGTGCAATTAATCTTGTCCCTAAAAGCAATTTGCTGGATCTGTCACTTAAACCCAACATTTTAGTATCTCTCCATTCCCTGTTTTGATTCTAAATATATACCTACACCTATCTATGAATATTTCTGCCAGAGAACTATGTGGTAGAACAAAGAGAAATCAGAGAATGGAGGTGCACATGATCAAGTGATTAGAAATGCAATATTCATTCACATCTAATAAATTCTTCTATGGGCCAAATTTACCTGGAAGATTTCCTGGCTTGTTGCTATATAACCTCTCCACGAACAGTGTTTAGCTCAATGTCCTTTATGCCATGGGGATGCTACAGGATAAGATTAACACTTTGAAAGGTTCTGCGATGGTAGGATGAAGATGCTGCCATGAAGTAGCAATGGTTTGGAATCTCGTACCCCATATACCACCTCATTAGTGTTTTGAGTCCTTCCTGTGTGCCACTAGGTAACAGCTACCATGAAGTGCCCACACAGAATCACTCGTGCTCTTTAACAAAACAAAACAGCAGCGGCATATTTCGAATATGGTGATAGTTTACCTGTGGAAGCACTGAGAAGGCTGAGGAATTTTGATGTTCCTGTAACAAGGCAGACGGGCCCTGCGGCTGCCCCCAGTGACAGCCCTTTGCACTGCACACTCCGAGTCTCCTCTGGAAGCTGGATGGACCACAAGGTGCTGCCGTTCATACCAGAAAGGGCCACCACAGTTACAGAAGGCCTAGAAACACCTGGAAGAGGCAGGAAAGAGACTGAAATCTCTTTGCATTGGAGGCTGTGTCCGTGCTGCCTCTGGTCTTTGAGCATCAGTTCTACCTCTAGCTTCCAGAGTTGAGTGGTTCAAGCTTGCCACATCCACACTGCCTGAAAGCAAAGGTCAGATCTCACCCCATGGCTGAGTCTCTGCCTGCAGAAAGCCCAGTGCAATAGGATGCCACTGGATCTGGCAGTCCCTGTATAACAGTGGCCAATATTAGCAGGATGCTACCACGTTACCTGACGGGAGTGAGGATTAACAGAGAAAGCAAAAGGAGCCAGGGTGAGGAAGAAGGGTGAAACTTGCTAAACAGCCAAGCACAGTAGCTTCCCCACCATCAGCTAGTCTATTATCTGTGAATTAACAATGATCTGGAACCTAGCAAGTATATGGAGTGACCTGGAGAAAAAGGCAGCAAGGTGAGGGTGTTGCCTGCAACACCAGCCTACACCTGCTCTAAAAAAACATACGTAATGCTCCTTGCTGGCAAGCAACTGGCTAGTTCAGAAGAACCAGAGTGCTTCATCAGTCAGCTCTGCCATCACTGCTTCTGTTACCAATTAGTGACTAAGGCACTGGATCACAGATTAGGAAAGAGTTGAGACCCTACCACTGAATCCCATCTGTGACCTTTGTAAAGCTGCTTCCTTTCTCCACACTTCTACTTCTGTATCTGTAAAATGGAGGTAGTTAAGACGGAGCTCTTTTTTGAAGGGCTCTGAAAGATGACAAAGGGGGGAAAAAACAACTTATTTCCTATTGCTATTTGTAGAGCAGTGCTTTCTGATTGCTTTATCTCTGCCCTTAAACCAAGTGTGCACAAATACAAGATCAAGAGATGGACTTGCCCCAAAATGATAAAAGGGGAAACAGATGATGCTGAACCAACAGGTATGGAAGCACAGACCAGCATGAAAAGCACAGGCACACCAACCATTTTAAGGAACTCTGGAAAGAGCAATGCAGTGGATTTGCAGTGGCAGGAACTCTTCTTGCGTGTAAGACACAATTCAGAAGCCCATAGTGACAAGTACAGAAAGAGGAATGGAAAGGAGCTGTGGTGCTTACCCATGACACTAGCGTTCATCAAGGCAGTGAAGACAATGAGGATGTCAGGGAGCCCATCACCGTTCACATCACACAGCTCCAGTGGGGATAACACACCACCTGCAACAGTCACACAGCATCACAGCACTGTTGTCAAACAGGCCATCCAGCCCATTCTCCACACTGGGAGCAGAGGGCTGGCCCAGAAAAGAGACTCAGGGACAGCCAAGCCTCACAGAGTCTGCTAGGGAACCACCCATGCCAGGAAGCTCCCACCACCTCATGGAAAAGCAAATGTTGCATCTGGGACAGAGAAACAAAAGGGGAAATTGGAAAAGCCAACAGAACAAGATGTCTGCTTCCCACCTCACTTTCTGAGGTGATGTGGGATCCACGTATCTTATAAAAGTCTTAGCCTTAAGAGCCAGCGGAAGAAAGCAAGGAGGGAGAGACATATCTAGACCTGGCAGAAATTATTTCACAACCCACTGTTACTTTACTGCAGAGGTCAGAATCAGAGATACTTTAGAAATGTTACCAGTGGCTGGTATAGGATGACAAAGGATCCCAAATGTTGATTTACAGATTCAAGCAGGACAAGACAAAAGAAATAAGGTTAGTTAAGCCAGTTAGGAGACACAAAGACTTCTACCCTCTCCTCCTGAATACACCCACACACTTCAGCATGGAGGTGCTGGTGAAACTCAGGATGTAGGGAGGGAGGGCCTATGTTTTCAAGTGGGCTGGGCCATCTCTATCTGGAACAGGCTGCACCATCCAGACAAAAAGGCAGGATGGGAGAAGAGTAAAAATGCTTTTTGGTATTGACAGAAACAAGTTTTTGTGGCACTGTTATCTACTGATGCCAGATTTCACAGGCCTCAGCTTGAAAAGTGAGCAGGACACAGCCGCCTGTCTATTACCTCGGAGCATCTGCAGTGGTGAGGAAGGGCCTCTGCTCCGAGCTGGCTCTCCCAGATAGGTCTCTCCCGCCGATGCCCAGCCTGGAAGCTGCCACCTCCCCCACGCCAGATGTTGTTCCTGGGGCTTTCTCACCTGCTCCCTGACCTAGGTTGCGGTTCCAGGTGTTATGCAAGTCTCTAGGGGGACAGGGAATTAGAAATGCACACACCAACACAAGAATCATTGAGATCACCACAGTGAGCAAAAAGATGGCTGTGCGCAGGTATGGCATGAGGGAGGGAGCAGCCTTCTGCTCCAAACTCCCAGCTGTTTCTGCAGGATAACCCTCAGGTGCGCTGTCTGATGTGTGCTGCTTTGTCATCCCAACCTCCACATCGGAGTCAGGGTCCTGCACCTCCTCAGGAGGACTCTTCCCGTTCTTGACCCCCCCATTCTTCTGGATGTTGAGTACCAGGTCATCTTCACTTTCATCACTGTCAGCCTGAGTGAGGGGATCATATTCCCCAAGGTCTGGGCTCTTCTTTCCTGAGGAAAAAGAGAAATAAAACATGAGATCCTTACTTTTGAAGGATCTCAGTGCACAAAAGGCTGCAGGGGATGGTGATACAGAAGGAAGGACTGTGTGGTCTGCATTTTGCATGGATCCAAGTGAGAGGTGTGAGAAAAAAGGCAGGGTCTGTCCATGTTTCAGAGTAGAAACTGCTGGAAAAAAAGATGCCGATAGTTTATTTCCCCAAAACAAAGGTGTATATATATAAAACAAGTATATGCATACATATACACATATGCATGTATGTGTGTGTGTATATATATATGTATGGAATTCACAGCTGATTTCATTCTAATACTTCATGTTTGGTAATGAGACACATGGACATGAAGTCATGCTTAACGCTCTGAGTATCTAAACTGTAGTAGCATTCTCTTGACTTCAGACTCTGAACTCCTTTAGCATTTGCCAACCTCTATTCCCAACACAGCTCCTCACCACTTGCAGTCTGTGTACTCTGCAACTCATTTTTTCCCCGACATGGTCCAAGCAGCTCTGCTGCCTTCTACTATGCCCTTTTGGATCAGTAGCATGCTGGTGTTCCAAGTGATCAGGGCTGCCTATCTTCAGACACCACCTTCTCTGTATGGCCCAGCACTGTGAGAGGGAGTGCTCCAGCCCCTGTAGAGGGAAACCACAGTGAACTGCTCTGCTCCTGCTCCCACCAGAGCCAACAGCTTGTGCTTGGCCTTGCCGAGGCAGGTAACTTAGCACTGATGCCTTCAGGTGGTGCTACAACAAAGTAGCTAAGCTCTAGGTGTCTCCCCCATAGAAGCCTGGCACATGGACAACTTCTCCCTGAAGCCCTAGACATCCACAGGGTGCGTGACGAGGGCAGGTGCCGAGCCCAGTCGTACATGCTGGCATGAGGCCAGGGCCATCTGGTTATGGGAGCAGGCAAGTTCATGCAGACTTACTGCCCTGAGCTACGAGTGGAGGATCACGTCTCAGGGAGCTGCCCTGTGCCACCAGCCTGGGCATGGAGCCATGGCCACCACTCCGACATCTGCAGGGTCTCAGCTTATTTCTCTCTCATATTTGAAGGCAGGATTTTGCTATCCCAGATATCTGCCTCATTTCCCTTTGCCTCAAGCTAACCCGAGACAGCTAACTTGTGCCCAAAGATGCTTGAAGTGATACATGCAAGACATAACTAATAAGCAAAACCAAGCAAGCTGTAACAGCTCTCAGACACTAAGAAGAGAGAAAGGCTTTACAAAGCAGAAATTTAAGGGCTTTCATGATTATTCTTCCTGCATAAGATAATATGCCTTACTTCTGGTCTTCCTGCTGCAGACAGACTCAGCTACAGACATACTGTAGCATCTAATTAGTGCAACACACCTACTTTGCATCACCTAGAATTTATTTTGGGGCATGTGGATCCCATTTCTTTCCCACTTCTTGCCCTAGCACTTATAAATGGTATTCTGTGACAATTTTAGGATTTAAGAAAAACTGTCAATCCCACTAAAGGCCAAATGCACCACACTAAGCGGGAGCAGTAAGGACAATCCACCCACACTGAACAGAAGAGAACAGAGATAACCAACGAGATCACATATCTAAACCAGACCCTTCCTATTTGAATCAGGGGCTTTTACAACAGACTCATGTCAAAACAATCTGGTGCACACACACTCCAAAAACCCAGTCTTTGTGGAGACAGACTACCCAGCTAAAAGATACATTTCTATGGGATGATCCAGTGTATCTCTGTGAGACACTGCATTGTTTCACGTAAGTCTGCCCTAGATATGCATGTGGGTTTTTCAGAAGTGTTGATAACCCTGGCTTCATTCTGTGAGCAGAACAGAAGGCCACCAACCCCAGTGGCACACAGGTCTCTACTCAGAGACTGCAGTGATGGTGCAGTGTAATTCCCAGATGTCTACACAGTAGGTTGTACTGACAAGTTGCTGGAAGAGTACTCAGAGGAAACAAGAAGTTCCAGAGAGGACTTAATGGCAGGGTGCTTGTAGCTTCTCCCTACAGATCCAGATGTGCCAGTTCAAGCCAGGTCAGAGTGGCATGAAAAACAAATGCTGCTGGTCCAAGAATAAATGGTATTTATCCTGGGAAGCCAAAGTTATGCAGTTATGTTAACCAGACTGCTCCCAGTTTTGGAACCTGTAATGCTCTGAGTAAAACAACTCAACAGCATAATTACATTTCAGAAATACTGCGATCTGTTTCGTTATTTTAATTTCAGACAGTTGACCCAGAAGACTAAAACCTGATGTTCAACCTTGGGTCAACTAAAAGCCTTAACAGAAATGAGCTTTATCTGGAACAGATTTGTTCTGGATCTCTAGGAGACAGAAGGGACCTTGAAACTATGCATCACTTGCTCCTTGAACTGTCTGGGATTGAGATGCTGGGAACATGAATGATGGTGTCAGACACCACAGACAATCTGTAACAGTAATAAATCCACTGATCAGGGGGTAGAAAACAGCTACTACACAGTAATGACTTATAACTTTTGTTGATCTACACAGGAAAGGATCTATTGAGTTATAGGAGATCTATAATGCAGAGAACTACTCAGTCTTATTTCATGTCTAAGCCAGACCTGGCATTCCTTCTCCTCAACCTTCCTCAAAAGGTTAGCTGTCACTCTCAGAAGGGACAGCCACTCAGTATGGTCAGGCATAAAATGCCCTGCTGATTTAAGCCAAAATGAGAGAAGATACTGCCCTTTAACAATGGCTGTTGGAGAATTCACCTAGCACATGGGAAAACCAATTGCATATCTAATCTCAAGAGGATTCAAATGCTCATCTCCCCCTGTTTAGAGAGAGCCCTAACAATCAATCTGGAGGTGTTCTGGGAGTGTGTCTGGAGGGCTGATGAGGATGTGCTCAGCCCAGCCTTCTGAGGCTGTTCTGCAATGCAGAGAAACGTAACTCATGATTCACCTGGCTGGAAATAGGGCAGAAGGAACGCAACTCTTCATCTCAGACTTAGGTCACTTGCTGTGGAAAACAGGGATACCACACCTGGCTTCCACTAAACACTCTCAGGTGATTTTTCAATAGAAAAGCATAAGTAGTGACACATAAAGAGCAGTAAACAATGTGTGAAAACAACAGCAGTCTCACACCATTTAGAGAATTACAATTTATTGATAAGTGCTCCAGAAGTCAAATTCTTTCCTTTCTAATCATCAGCAAGGCTCAGGCTGGGGGAAGACTGTTTGTCCATCAAGAGAAAGCTAAAACTGCCTTTGATGCAAGTGATCAGCTGTCAGAAAATTAAATTCTCCCACGCTTTCCCTTGTGGAAGCAGAAATACTAAGACCTGAGTTGGCCTCTTAGTCAAACTCTCACCCTATCTGTGAAACAATAATCACTGCATAACCTTTGTGATAAATTAGTCCCTGCACTAAAGAAAACAGACTCCAGAACTACCCTGAGCACTTCTATGGCCTTGTGTGTGTAACAGATCTGTATAACTCATATCTTGTTATCCGTCTTTTGAAAAGTGTCACTAAGTGCATATAAACCTTGCACCAATCTTACAGGGATGGAGTCAGTAAAGTTGGTTTCCCTGCTGCGTTGTGTTATGTCCTACAGGTGTAGTAAATAAACTGCTTCTATTACATCCTGCTTTAAATTGAATTCCAGCTTTTTCCAGAGCACCACTGATAAAACAGAGGTTCCCAGTCAGTGGCGTGTGGTTAAAATCAATCTGAAGGACTGCTGCTTGTGATCTGTGGCTAAATTACTGGTCACGTTACCCTGGATTATTTTTTTTGCGACCACTAGAAGAAAAGGCAAATACTGAAAAGGGAGGTTTTCAAAGGGAAAAGAGAAAGAATGCCCCAAACTTGGTGACTTTCAAGGGCAGCTGGACTCTAAACTGCACTTTATGACTTTGAAAATCTCCTGTGCGTTTGCCTAATAGCACTTTTTGCACAGGCAGCTTTCAACTATTGCAGTAGAAGAATGTGACCTCTCACAGAAGAAAAGATAAATCATGTGAACATGATTTGGAAAGGAGGCATCTGTGAGTTGACTGGTGTTGGAACCAGGTCTCATAATGAAATACTAATTTCCAGTGCTGATGGCTTGAAAGATATTAGTTGTAATCCTCTTTCTGTTATTGACTTACTGGAAAGGCTTTTCTTTGCACTCACTTCAGAATGAAAAGAGTAAATCCTGGTCTTTAGATAAGTACAATTTTCAGTGTGCTAGTCCAGTCATGACACACTGGTTCCAGTATCTTTTGGACTCACTTCATGTTCTGTGTATTTTCCTTTTCTTTCCTCAGCAGGCAGGCACCAGTCACTGGGTACTGCAGACATACTTCTAAACCCATGGGGAGAAGAGTTGCCACATATTGATGTAATTAATTTAATGAGATGCAGCAGGAAAAAAACAGCTATAGCAATAGGCTTTCTGCTTTCTCATCATTATTGAAAAGCTGCACTTTTCAAGAGTTAACCACACAACAAGGTATGATATACACAATTAAACATAAGGACTGATGCAAGAGCTGTTTCTTAACTGGAGTTGTGAGGCCTGTGCTCTTTTCCAAGTCAGTGACTCTGAACAGCAGATATCAATAGATCACACTGGCTCCAGAGGTCCCAGAAGAGATCTGTACTTGTTATTGCACAGTCCTCCAGTGGTCACACTCTCACACACATATACCCACTAGTTAACACTCTTCCTAAATAAACTTAATATGAAATATATTCCTTCCCGTTTAGGCAAATATATATATAAACAGGAATAAATTGATTTACAAATACATCTTCTTTGAATTGAGATCTACCCAGCACTACATCAACTAAAAAAAACCGACTCAAGGTAGGGTCACTAGAAGCTGGTGGGAAGGGCCCTGAAGACAACTGTGATCTTAATGGCCAAGTAGAGGAGGAAAGTATAACCTGCCCACTGAATGTAGCTTCACAGACTGAGGCACTGCAGGACTCCATGTGGTTCTGGGAAGGAGCCCTGCCCTGCCAGCGCACAGCTGGGCCTGTCTCTGTCCCACGGCTGCTCCGAAGACAGGCAAGATGTGGCCAGAAGGACCAACGAGGCATTCTCCCATTGGAGTTAAGGTAGCCAGGTGCATTGGCACAGTCTCCAGCCCATCTAGCAGCAGCTAGCATGCTCTCCAGATCTGTTCTTGCAATGTCTTTTCATTCCCTTTTAATATCCTGGCTGAAGAGAATACTTGTTGTACTGCTGCTCCTTGCCTTATCTTTTGAAAGATCTGGTTGCCCAAAACAATAGTCCCTTATACTTGAATACCCTTTCATCTCGCTGCAGATCTCTGGCTGGAAGGTGTGCAGAGCAGGTAGGCGGCCTTAAACACTGACCCGGATAATCGCAGCGGGACCTACCGAACTCCTGGCCCAGCTTTCGGGGGTAAAGCCCGGCAGGAGACCAGAGAGGGGATGACGCTTTCCCTCGG